AGGAAGGAAGGAAGGAAGGAAGGAAGGAAGGAAGGAAGGAAGGAAAACATGGTCAAATAATTTTGGGAAATGCAGGAACGTTCAACCAATTTTATTACTGTCAATTTCTTACAGCTTTTTTTTTTAAATCCTCACCCAAGGATATTTTCAGAGAGAGGGGAAGAGGGAGACAGAGAAACATCAATGGGAGAGAGACACATAGACTGGTTGCTCCCTGCACGCACCCCGATCAGGGCCAGGGATCGAGCCTGCAACTGAGGTGTGTGTCCTTGGCCTGAATTGAGCCCGGCACCCTTCAGTCAGTAGGCCGACACTCTAGCCACTGAGCCAAATCGGCCAGGGCCAGAGTTTTTAATAAGTTAAGTGTACTATGACTCTCTAAGGGAATATACGCAGTGTTTTTCAAACTTAATTGACTTTGGCTTACCTCATGCCATCTCAGTCTATCTGATGCCCTACCATTCCTCTGCCAAGATCGACACCCAAAGTAGAGCTGGCTGCCCTTTCCACCCACGAACTGTTTCATCAAATGGACCTGCAGCTATATGTAAAGAAATCACCCCACTCCCACCCCTTTGGGTTACCACAGCCGCTACGGCCGTAATGTCTAGTCCCGAACACCCTAGAGGGAGCAGGGGACACGCAGTCTTCAGTTCTCAAAACCACCAGGAAGCATATCTGCTTTCTAAGGGAGAAAGCGGATAAGCTCCACTGTATCACACAGAGCCTGACTGCTGGGTTCGGGTTCGGGTTCGGGTTCTGGACCCATGAGTTCCTGCCCCTCGCCCTTGCCTCTTCACGCCAGGTCACCTCACTCATTTGTTTTCACATTTTATCTCAGGAAGAGGTTTCCCACTCATTCATAACATACGGGACAAATGCCAAGTAGCTATAAAAAGTGAAAACCTGGTGGATAAAAGGCTTGTGGAGATCAGTCCGGGATCTGAAAATTAGACACTACTTTTTAAAACATCAAGAATAGGAATCATAAATATCAGCTGGAAAAGCTCGGTGAGGCTGCTGGTCACTACAGTTTACTAGGTTCTGCTCCCCAAACCATCACATTGACTTAAAATAAGCCCTGGGGACGCTTACCCGCTCTCCATCCTCTGACTGCACCTGCTGTTGACACACTGGTGAAGAGCGTCCTGCAGGCCAGGGTCAGTAGCCGTGTACGTCACTGGCTCCTGGTGGACCTCGCAGCTCGGGTTTCTATTCAGGAGCAAGTCTGGAGGTTAGGACCATGTACATGCCAAGTTCATCATGCCCCTGGCCCCTACGGTGTCAGACAGGTCTGGGTTTGAATCCTGGCTTTGCCACTTAGCTATATAAAATCTTGGGCCAAACACCTAACTATGCTAAGCTTTAATATGTTCATCTTTAATGTACAAAAGAAATATAAAAAAAATTAGGATGTCATAAATATTCAACAAAATAGAAATACATACAATCAGAAATGGATATTACCTCCCCTCACTCACCATTCTAAATCTTACTTTTCAGAGGTTACCACTGTTAACAGTTTAATGGGTTTTTTTCTAGATGTTTTTTCTATGCCTAAATAAGTATATACAGTTGATCCTTGAACAACACAGGCTTGAACTATGTGGGTCCACTTATATGCAAATTTTTTTCAGTAAATAACCTGTCTTGGTTTTGATCGTGGTTGGGAGTCCGCAGATGCAGAGGGATGACTCTATGCATTGTTCTATGCTACTTTATAGAGTGGACTTGAGTGTCTGTGAATTTTGGTATCCATGGAGGGGTTCTGGAACCAATCCCCTACATATACTGAGGGACAACTAAGTTTTTTGGAAGTCAAAAGTTATACACAGATTTTCAACTGTGTGTGGGGGTCGCTGCTCCTAACCCCTGCTTTGTTTGAGGGTCAAATGTCTTATTATGCATACACACAGCATTCTTTCTTTCAAGTTCTAGAGAAGGGACTTGCCATAATTTATTTAACTGGTCTCAAAATTTGTCACTAATATAAATAATGCTGTGTTATGTGTGAGCATGTGTGTGTATGAAAAATACCTACGTATTTATCACAGGTTTCATTTGAAAACTAAGTGACTTAATGTGCATAAGATAACTGACACATGGTAGGCACTCAGTTAATGCCTGTAACAGTCTCTATATTTTTTGTGTAGAGCACATATACTGTTAATTCTTTCACAGCGTTTAAATTTAAACCTGGAAGTGGACTTCATTGTAAGGCACTATGGAGCTTGAAATATGGCTCACCAAACAGTTACATCAGCAGAATGAATCATCTTCTTATGCCCCAACCCCAAATAAATCTATGAACAAGACTCAAAGCAAACGTATATAGTACATACATACATATTTTACCTGTTTTCTGCATTGGTGAGGTTGCCAGTACACTCGTTGACCTCTAGAGGGCACTCACAGGGACATTCGCATTCGTTTTGCTCCATTCTGAAAAGCAAAGAGAAAGTTACTTGCAGAGGGTCAATAACACATTACATATTGTACACATACCAGGGGAAGCAAAACAAAGAAAAATCGAGCTAGTTAAAATGCATAGTAAAAAAGACTTTACGACCAACAGTTTAAAGATACAACTGGCCTCAAACCACTGCTCTTTGGACAAGGCTGCTGCAAACACAGCTCACATGCTTCTGCAACCAGGACTTCCCTCTTCTCCAGGACGCACCCAGCACCTTCCGTTTATTTTGCAGGGGCCACTTCAGAATGACTGGTATCCGTTAAAATATTCAACAGCATGGTAAACAGAGAATATGACCCATGGCATTTTTACCTGTGGCAGTTGAGACAGAGCCGATCCACCATGCTACAAGCACAGAAGGCAAGCGAGTCGCACGTCTCGTTGACGATGCCCACAAACGCATTGGTTCCTGGGATCCTCGCCAGTCTGTACTTGGAACAGTGGCTGCCATGCACGAGGTTCGTCAAATCCCCCTGTAGACAACCAAGGTGTCAAAAGTGACAAACAACAATGCGAAGACTCAGCCCTACCATGGTGAAAACAGCCAATCAGCCATCTGCTGAAAATAGCTTACAATAACACTTAATTTCTGATTTCAAAAGTAGTACATAGTCACTGTTAAAAAAGTGGAAGATTAAAAAATTATTTATAATCCCGTCATAGATAATTCTCATTTAACAGTTGTGTATATATCATTTACTCTTTTATCTATGCTGATAAAAATAAAATTTTCATAGCTGTTTTTGTAATCTGTTCTTTCCTTTGTAGCACATAATAATATATCATAAAGTGGAAATAAATGCAAGAAGCAATGAAAGACAACTTTCTGGTAAGAAAGAGTTTGAAATTTATTTAAAGACAAACCTAAACAACCAGAAAACATGCATTTGCACCCCCCACTCTGAGAACAAACATCTGTTCTTTTAGAATAAAATTATTTTAAAACCAAAGCCTCTTTAAGAGGCCAGTGTCCTGCTTCCAGAATATTTAAACAATCCAAGTAAAGCAAGCACCCTCTTATCCCTTCTATAACAAGAAAATGCAATAGCCAGTTTTGTGAATTGCCAAATTTGTCACCATGTTAGAAAATCAAAGATTCAAAGGCGGCATTGTAACACTGAGTGTGGTCATTTCTTTCTCCATGTGTGTCATATGCAGCAGGCCAATTATTTAAACTGTTACCATGCCAGTATCCCCTATATACGCAGGGTGAGAATAAGCCAAACTGTGAGAATCATGGCACTGAATGGGTTCTTAGAGGTCCAGATGAATTTTCCACTGCCTGGGAAATGCCCGTCTCTACAATATAAGCAATAACATAGGCTTTGCATCCTGTTAGCTCCAACACCCAGGAATGCTCCAATTCCCTTTTGGAATAACGCCATTTAAGACATTATTCTAATTCATGCTGGGGTTGGCAAAAGTAGATTTACAGTTGTGGGCACAGGAAATAGTGTTTATTCTTATATTATTATTAATTATTGTATTATTTTCCATATGAACAACTGTAAACCTACTTTTGCCCACCCCTGTATTTTATTAGAGTTGGCATCTCTGAAAAATTTCTGCTGGAATATCCTGGCTTTGTCTCAGGAAATCTTTGCACAAATGATGCCAGACACAGAGTAATTTAGATTTTCATATGACAACCTTCCCTGGCAGCCTCTTTCTGATTACACCCAAGTTTGTCAGTGTCCTTAAAGAGCATGCTTCTCAGAATGATAGGGGGTCTGAACCAAGTAATAATGACCTTCTTTGTTTTGAATATACTATTCTTTTAATGTATTCATTTTAAACACTCTTCTATTCCTCTAGACAATTGTTTTTGCAATTGCTTTTTTTGAGTAAGTTTAGGATTTTCATTTAACCATAGTATCTTTAAAATTAAGAATTTTTAAAAAATATATTTTTACTGATTTCAGAGAGAGGAAGGGAGAGGGAAAGAGAGAGATAGAAACATCAATGATGAGAGAGTCATTGATCAGCTGCCTCTGCATGCTCCCTGCTGGGGATCGAGCCTGCAACCCAGGGCATGTGCCCTGACCGGGAATCAAACCTTGATCTTCTGGATCATAGGCCAGCTGGGCTAAAATTAATTTTTACTGATACATTTAGTGATATAAATATCTATTTCAAATAAAAATCTTACCTTTTTTTTTTTTTTTTTT